ATAAGGTTTGTAAAAGCACCCACCTGTGTCTGGCATATATATATATATATATATATATATATATATATATACACAGACAGAAAAAAAAATAGGTTCATTCCTTCCTAAAGAAATGCTCTCTCATTAAGCTTCTGCAAGCTGCCTGTCTTGCTGAAAAGCTGCCAAGGCCCCCAAAGAAACTGTCACAGAAGTATGTGAAGACTTAATAACACCCGGTATCTCACACGTCGCACAGTGCCAGACAACGGCTGGAGATCAACTTCCACATCTGCAAAAGGAGGGGATTTGGAGCTTAGCTTCAGAAGTCCAGCTGTGGGTCTGAGAGCTGAGGCACAAGCCGATCACAGGGGTACAGACTTGATTCACAAGCAATGTGGAGATGGGAGGGGCTGGAGAATTCCACAGGCAGGTATGAGAGAGGTTTCTTTGGTGTCCACCAGCACTAAAGGGTGCTCAGAGGTTCCTGACAAGCAAGGCCTTCATCTTCTGCTCCCAGTTTTCCTATGTAAGGTGTCTTAAATATGTAACAGCAACATCGGACAGAAAAAAATATGAAGGAGAAAGGGCAGGTTTGGATTATAAAAGGTTTCCTAATTTTTATGAAAAATACCAAATCATTTTAAAATGTCAATACGAAGTAATAAACATGTAAAGTAGTTTATATAAGGCAACTGTGTATCATTCCAGAAACAAGGACAGCGCTAATCAAGCCTCATGGGTGGTACGTAGCTTTCTGACTCACAAGCAGCCATAACTGCATCAAACGTGTAAGCCTTCCAGGCCCCTGGCTAACGTCAAACACCGCCACGCTCCTGCGCACTGATTCGACCCTTTTAAAGGGCAAATATACGTCACGAAACAGGGGACAAGCTATGTTCAGTTCTTGCATGAGCCAAACACGGACTGTTCTCCAGAGGGGAAAATGAAAGCCCTGGATGAGCTGGACGCATAAGGCATTTGGCTGTGTTCTTTATCCACCCCCAACAAATCCCTATTCATCAGGCATTAAGAAATTTGCTCCAGAGTAGCTGCAACTTGCTGGAAATACAAAGGAGAGAAGGGCCGCTCGCTTCCTTACTGTGTTCTGATTCTAAGAGGCACAAGAGCTTGCCATCGATCTGCAAAGAGCAGGATGATCTCATCTTTAAGAACATTCAGGAGGCTCCGCTGAACATGAAGCAGAACAGATGGGTCTCTCTACCTCAGCTGTAACTCTAAACATTTCCAGTTTCCTCTGAAAGGATGTTTCTACCTGTCTGTCACAGAGCCTGAGGAGAATCTGTCAAATTACCGTGGTGAGATTCAGCCGGGAGGGCAAGACAGGAAGGAAAGGCTCTGGCTCGCTTCTTCCCAGGGTTCAGGAGGGTCTCAGGACCACCTCCCCTACCCAGCATTGCCACTCTGCCAGGCTCCACCCCTCCCCACGCCACCCCCATCATCACACCCCTAGAAGCCATGCACCAGGCGAGTTTTACCACAGAGGAATGGAGGCTTGGGAGATGGCCCTGCGGGTTAGACGTTAAGCAGGCGCCCTTAAGGATGCCAAGGCCTGCACAGGCGCACACTAAGTCACAGCCTCCCCACCCTCCTACTAAGTGGGATCATCATCCTTCAGTGGCTCCCAAGTGCCAGCCTGGCAGGATCAAGAACCATCAGGGAAGCTCTTTTGACATACAGATTTCAGGACCCTACTCTGAGTGGTTCAGATTCAACAAGGGGGTGCGCAGCTGGCGATCTGTGTTCGGCAAAGGCTTCCCTGGAGACTACCAGGCTTGGGAATCTGCCAGGGCTGGGGATCTCCGAGGCCTGCAGAACTAGAACGACCCTGGTCTCCAGGGAGGAGGGTCTCCCTCTGGCCCCAGGGAGGTTTGCGAGGGAGCAGCCACACTCCCAAGTATCTGGCCTCCGTTTTAACAAGGAGAGCCTGGAGGAGCGGCTGCGTGGAAACTGTACATCTCCTGACTTCAAGGCGGACACCGGCCTCTCTGCCAGAGAAGGGGCCTGGACGGGTATGAACTTGCCAGGAGATTAGTGGGAAGCCCACGTGTGCAGAAAATCGATATCCAGGAAGACTGCAAGTGGGGAGGTTCAGTCGCTCAGACTGGAGCTGGATAAAGCCCAAAACCTTTGCCTCTAGCTGTCCTGGGTCTGCAGTGAAGGGCAAGACACTTGCTTTCACTTGCCCCCTCTGTAAAAATGAGGAAGAGTCACTCTAACCACTGCAGCGGAATGGGGAAGGATCAACTGCAGGACAACGGAGTATAAGACTAAACCAAACACAAAGTTCTAGTCTTTTTCTTCTTTCCATGAAAGCCATTCCTTTACCAGCACGGTTAAACTGTAAATACCCAGAAACTGTCTTCCCTGACAGACAGCTTTCTCTGTTTTTCATGCTCAATGAATAGCTCTTTATTGATTGACAGCATCTCTTCTTGAAGTTAGGGATGCTAGAGGGTAGGGGGTGGGGTTCTCTTAGCTCAGTTTCTCTAAAATCCCATTTTGTTTTCCTCCAGAGCCCTTTTCTCATTACACATTAAGAAACTAATTTTCAGTATAAGTAATAGTGAAGGATCCTCCACTGTATTAACTCTGGAGTAAGGTGACGTTTGTGTAAGTGAAAGTGAATTAGTCATGTAGCTGTTCTGAGTATAACAAAGCACAAGCTTGAAAGTAATGAAGCCCACAGAACTAATGAACTGAATGCTAGCTTTCTCCTTATGTCCTGGTGCCATGCTGACAAATCTCAGGTAACCAGTTCGGTAAAGAAAGCCCTTTTCTTAAGTTGATCACATCCGGACATCACTATACAAGCAGTCACAGCACAGAATTCAGCTACCTAATACTTGGTGGTCAGGAGGACACAAAAGTAATCAAGCTTCACAGTTTCATAAAAATTTAAGACTCTTCTACATTCTTCTGAACACATACACTGCCTCTTATTAGGATGTTCTGGTGTAGTTCTCTCTTTGCTACTGGTATTAGCTGAGTGGCCTTTGGAAACACACTTGAACTCTGGGTTTCTTTCTCAAAAAAACAGAGGCTAAGCTAAAAGATATTTAAGGATGTTTCAACTTTAAAATTCTGACTGTTAAATTTTCAAATCAACTTTTCCATCATCAGACTTCTGATTTAGTAGCTCCTATTTTCTACTTATTGAGAACAGTAATAGTAACTCAACCTGTTTTTTCTCCCTTACGGAGGTTTATGAAACCACAGCCTAACCCATTCACCAAACGGGTGCCCAAAGATCCCAACCTGCTGGGTGAGTTTCATGTTGAAAACAAAGTGCCAGCATGGTGGGACTTACACTGCACTCGCAGTGGATTTGTTCAAACTTGATCTTCACTCACCATGAAGGATACCAGTGGATTTTGACTGTCCCTGTGTCTACAGGAAGGAAGCCTTAAAAAGATAGTTTTATTTATTGATTGATTTTTGCTTCAGTAAAGATCTACATTCTTGGAGACCACAGTAACTGAGTTGGTTTGAAGTGAGCATTAGTTTCACGCAATATGAGCTGAACAGACACACAAAAAAGTGTATATAATTATGCCCATTCCAGGTAATTACAGCCTCTTGTACTAATTTTCAGAAATAAATACACAATTAATTTTTAAATGTAAGTTGTTGAATATACAATGTCTCACTGCTGGGCACCAGAACTTTATCAATATTTTGAAGAAAAAAATGCATAAAAATGAAGGTGGATCACATAGATCTTTCTTTGAAAACAATGATTTATAAAGCATTTTTAATTTTGTGAATTTTTAAATCTTCAAAGTAACTTACCAACTCTTTATGACTTTTATTTTTATTTTGATGAGACAACATAACTCTACCCTTTCTTTAAGTGTTTCTTTTTGCCAAGATTTATATTTTGAAAAAGCTCAAATTTATAGAAAATTACAAGTAGTACAACTAATTACAATTAAAAAAAATTAATAGACTCATTCCAAGTTTATATTTTCAAATTTTCATGCTCCTAAGAAGTATATATTCTTGCATATATGTAAATGAGGCAAACCTCTGTATCCACGAAAGTATTACTACTCAGCTATCTGTGTGTCAGAAACAAATCCTAGGTATTTTAGTAACGTAACAAGGAAGGGAATATACTGCCATTAAAAAAAAAATCTTTCTCTCCAGTGTGAGGCAATGTCTAAGGCAACAGCCAACTAGGAGACAGTCCACATCTTTAGTTTAGAAATTGCCTGGGAGAACAGCATCTTGTTTTTAACAAGTCATATTAGAATATACTCTTATTGAAAACAGTTTCAAACAGTAATACAATTTTAATTTTATATACAGAAAGAAAGAAAAAAAAGGAATGTATTTACATCAGTCTCCTGAGTCATTCTGTGCCTGACACCAGAGAGTGAAGTCAAGATATCCTCAACCAAGTACAGTAACTTCAGGAGGTAAAATTCCTAACAGACTCTAAAAGACCCCCCCCCCAAGCTTGCCAATGGCCCCCTGGCGTCCGCCGAAGCGCGATCAGCAGAGTGAAATCAGTCTCAGCCCTGGAAGACGGGAGGAGGCCACAGCGGGGCCTTCGCCTGGGCCTCCGAAACTGAACAGGCTGGCCGCCCCTTGCCTCCTGGCCCATGGCCCCTCGAAGCCGGTAGACTGGACCTGGCGCCACCATGCGATGCGGGTCGCACTTCCCGCCCGACCCCCGTAAACCAAATGCAGCCCAGGGAGGACAGTCCTCTCCCGGGCCTCCCCTCGCCCGGACGCCGGCCAAGGGCGGGCCTGGAGAGGGGGGTTGTAGGGGCGTAGCAGGCCGACCCCCCTGGGAGCTGGTGTACTGGGGGTCCGTGCGTCCCAAGTGGCCTTCACTGATCTCCGGGGCACCGGCGCGGGCGGGCTGCGGCCGGAGCACACAAGGCGCTTCGCGTCCCCGCAGCCCGGCCCAGTCCAGCCGCCCCCGCCCAGCCTTGTCCCCGCCGCCCGCCGTCTAGGGGGACCTCTGGCCAGGGTGCGGCGCGGGCCCTGCTCACCTTGGGGCCCTCGGGGGGCACGCGCGGGTCATTCCACGTCGTGGTGCGGCTGTTGTGGTCCACGAAGAAGGGCCAGCCGGTCTGCGGGTCGATCTTGATCTCCCAGCCCGGGGGCAGAGGGTCGCGGTCGCCGGCGCCGTTGCCAGACGCCATCTGCACCATGGGCGAGTGGGTGACAGCGCTCATGTTGGGTCGGGGTCAGCCCGGTGGGGCGGCCGCCGGGGTGCCGAGTCGCGGGGTGCTGGGGTTGCGGGGTGCCGAGTCACGGGGTCGCGGGGTGCCGGACCTCCAGGCGCAGAGTCGCTCGCTGGCTATAGCCGGAGCTAGAGTCCTGCGCGCCGCCGACGTGTCCGGGAAGCCGGCGCCGGGCACCTTTATGAATTAAAGGAGGGGGTGACGTGGCCGGAGAGGGCTGGAAGTGTCTGGAAATAGCCTCCTCACTGCCAAAGGGGAAGGAGGAGATAAAGGGAGGTAGCAACTGGCCGGCTAGAAACTTCTGGTCCCATCCAGAGAAGTTGGCGGCGGCGCTAGTTGGATGCAGAGCTCCGCCCTGAGTCATCGGCTATATTCGTGGCGGGGCGGGGCGTGGGCGGGGCGAGGGCGGGGCCTCGGTCCGCCCGCCCCTCCTCCACCCTTCCACCTCCTCTCTCGCCCCAGCTCGCCGGGTGGGTTTCCCCCTGCCCAGATCGCCCCGGGGTGGGCGGAGTTGCATCCGCGGGATCCGCCTGCCGCTGGCCGGCGGGACAAGCGAGCCCCGGGGACGGCGTATCTTGGGCCAGTTTCGGTTTTCAGACTCGCTCCCTCTTCAAGACATGTAGGTGTTCCGGGGACTGGGAGTCCGCGCGCGGGACATCTGCTGCGGCTCCTCCGTGTGAAAACAAAGTCATCGTTAGCCTTTAAAGTGGATTTAAACTAGGGTCTCTCCCACCTCCCGTTTGCACCTCCCATATATTGATACGCGGGGACACTGGCCTCCCTCAGTTACGATTTAATCACTTCCATGGGCTTAAGGGCCGTCCGAAAGGAGCGCTGGAATGTTGACCTGGCACCATTAACGGAGGCAGAGAGAAAATGGAAGTACAAATGGAAACTCACCTGCCTTCTTTTTGAAACCTAATGAAAGAAAGATTGCATCAGCCCATGGTTTTATGCTCCTGAACCTCGTATCTCAAATATAGAAACTATCATTGCAGTGAATAACTTTAAGGAAAAAACACAATCTTTTGAGTTTTGGTCTTTTTTATGGTAGGGGTTGGTTCTTGCTAACTTAAGTCTTACCCTTCATTTGGGAAGTAGGGAACAAATCGAATCATGAACAAATTCTGTTTGGTTGTTTCAGTGGTGGTCACACTTGTAACCTCAGCCAAGCACCTGGATTCCTCTGGGAGAGACAGTGCCCGCAGAGGAAGAATTGGGAGGGGGGTTCTGTTTTAGATCCTTAGGCACGCAGACTCATTCCCTTCCCCAGAAACATTCTGGAAAAGTGACTTGGACTAATGTTGGGCCCAATTTTCTAACTTAAATGCAGAGAACACCCTGGAACCCTCAGAGACAATACATCTTGTCTCTTGCTGCTCTCAAATTACTCTGTTTGGAGCAAATGCTAGAAAGGCTTGCCAATCATTTCCAATGGAATGATTCTCACAAAGGTCTACTTACCAGCTTTAAAGTACAAACACTCAGTTTCGTGAAAAAAGAGATGATGAAGCCCCAGGAGCTGACTTAGGTCACCAAACACACAAAAGACTGATGTAAGAACCCAAATGCCAGTGCACTAATTTACCATAAGAAGTATTACTATTCAATAATAAGGAGCTGGACCTTCGAGTACACTATTCAGTGGCTGTCTTATTCTTTCTTATTTCTGATGCTCTAAGCACAAGACTGGGCCCAGAATCCATATTCAATAAATATCGATGTTTATTGAAGATTGACTCCAAAGTGAATTTTTATTTCCATCATCTTCCTTTGTTCAATTTGCTTTCCACTACAACTACATTTAAACACAGGGAGCATTGTTTGTTTGTCTGATTTGCTAGACAGAAGTAGGGAGGAAGCAAGTTCCTCTGGGATTAACATAGCTGCTTCTGAGAGTTACATTCCACCGGGACTTCAAGTGGGTCTGTCTAAAATGGAGCCATAAGTCTTGGAGAACTGCCTGGAAGAAGCTCCTTTGAGCCATGCTGAATAATAAATAAGCAGCCTGTCTGTCCCTGGTGGCTTATTTTCCTTCTAGGTCTTAGGATGCTCTTTCTTCAGGTACTATAGACTAAATGTGTTTCTCAAAAATTCATATGTTGAAGCCTATTTCCTAGTGTGATGCTATTTGGAGATGGAGACTTTGGGAGGTGATTGAGGTCATGAGGATGGAGCCCTTATGAATGGGTTTAGTGCCCTTATTAAAAATACCCCAAAGTGTTCCCTCACTGCTTTCTTCCACCATGTGAAGACACAGTGAGAAGATAGCTGTTCCTCTGGCCCCTACCAGACACCAGATCTGCTGGTGCCTTGCTCTTGGACTTCCCAGCCTCCAGAACTGTGAGAGAGAGAGAAAAAATGTTGTTTATAAGCCGCCTAGTCTGTGTTATTCTGTTATAGCAGCCCCAACGGTCTCAGATACCAGGTCTTCTGGAGTTTACTTGCCCAGATTGGAAGCTTAAACATGACCCTGAATTTCCCTCTTTCTTTCTTTCCTTCTTTCTTTCTTCCTTCCTTCCTTCCTTCCTTTCTTTCTTTCTTTCTTTCTTTCAACTTTTTTTA